TCGTAATTATTCTAAGGAAGATCAAATGGATATTTTACATCCAACACTAAGCCGAAAATCAGCTTTGCTGTATCCATTCTTGCTTTTCTATTCCTACCTTGGTAAGTTTGACCCCAACTACAATAGGAAAAGTTGTATGAAAGAAAAGCTAAGTTCACAGGTGCTGTGAAAACCGATGGGAGGGGTATCCAACTCAGAGCAGGGAGAGTGAGAGAAGGCATCAGCCCGAAAGTTACATGCACTGGAGCCAGAGGAGGGATTCTCCAAGTGCAGATGGTGGAAAGATGAACAGCTGAGGCACATTCAGAGAATTCCACAAGTCCTGGAGGGCTGATGAGTGAAGTGGTAGGAGGAAGAGTGGACGCATAAAGCAGAACAGAGGAGTTGGATCATGGAGAATCTTGTGTTTCTAACACATGTCAAGATATTAGAAGACTTTAATGTTATTATTTTGATTCAGAAATAATACTCAGGCAGCAGGATGTGGGTGAGACCAGAGAAAAGGAAACCGTTTAGAAGATGCAGGTGAGACAAGGCGAATAAACTAACACAATGGCTAGTGTGGGTGGCTGGGGGTCTGTGTGTAAGGCTTTCGAGAGCTATTAACGAGGAGGAATTAAATGGCGAGAACTGTCAGGACTTGATGACTGGTGTTGAGGCAAAGGGGAGGGGATGGCTGGCTTCCAGTGTGAGAGAAGCCTCTTCTAATTATATTGCAACTTTTCATGTGAGGCCACTTCCCAGAACCTAGAAATGATCAAAAATGTTACTTACTTCAGTGTATTGCTCATGAACCCACCTGTATAGAAATGAATTTTCTAAAATATTTATTGCAGATTCTTTCATGAACATAAAATCTGTGGCTGTCACTGGGATCTGAATGTTTGTGTCCCTCCAAAATTCATGTGCTGAAATCTAACTCCCAATATGTTGGTATTAAGAGGTGGGGCTTTGGGTGGTGACTAGGTCACGAAGGTGGAGCCCTCAGGATTGGGATTAGCACCTTTATAAAAGAGGCCTGGGGGAGCGAATGTGCCCCTTGCACCACGTGAGGACACAGCGAGAAGGTGCCATCTATGAGGAAAGAGCCCTCGCCAGACAACAAATCTGCTGGTGCATTGATCTTGGACTTCCCAGCCTCCAGAACTGTGAGCATTAAATTTCTATTATTTATAAATTACCCGGTCTATGGTATTTTGTTATAGTAGCCTGAACTGACTAAGACAGCTGTATATGAAAAATGTCAGATATTTTTCCCAATCGCCTCTTTTGTATATACATTTAGCCTCTGGTAATGTACATTTGTAGTCAACATTGCACAAATTCATTTGCTAATCATTGATCAAGTAACTACTATGTAGTATATTGTAGATGTTATTTTGCAAAAGTATTAGAGAAAAGATTTCAAAAATATTTAAAAAAACAAATTAGCCTCTAATAACAACCCTAATTTTCTTTGGTAGGTTTGTCTGACCTACTAAGCTATAGGATAACTTTATCTTAACATATTTGGCTAAATCCTTGATGTGAAGAAAAAATGTGGTTTGTTCTCTAGTATTGAGTTAATATATTTCCCTTATAATCAGAAAAAAACTGAATATATTCACTGGCTTTGCTTTGGAACACTATTTTATAACAACAGTCCTCATCTACAGGAACGGGGAGGAGAAGGCCACCCACATTTTGGTTTCTGCCACATGGAAACATTCTTCGAACCAGAAATGACGTGTGAAAAGAGACTAAAGAACCAGAAGAAATGTGCTTCCATCCATTCTGGTTAAATCTTCCTCGAAATAGAGATAAGAAACAAAATAAAAAATCCATTCCTTTTAGAAAATGAGTCTTTAATCCAGAGGTTTGTTTATTTTGGAAAGGAATCAGATTCAGGCCCATATACCACACGTTCAGAATATAATGTCGTGGTCTCATCCACTAACTGTTGCTATGACTTCTCAGCAGAGAGAACATTTAACAGGAAATAACCTGGGGAAGGGATGATCTAACTCAGACATCAATAATTGATTTATCAGAAACAGGAGTAGTGATATTAAATGCCAGCAGACTGTTTCATTTGTAGGGAGGCATTTTCTATTTCAACCCTAGAACAATGCAGTGAGCTTCATTTGGCAAGCTAATATGAATGGAGGCAAAGCTGAATGGAAGGACAGGTTTTTATGGTCTCCTCTAATAATGCTATTACTTTAGCATCAGTTATTTATGTCTGACATACCACCATTTGGGAACTGGAAAAAGCGACAAGAAAGGGATTTTTATAACTTTTGTACTTCAGAGGTGATTTCCTCCATTCCAGAGCTTTGGCACTAGAAATGGAATCATGTGAGTCCAAGACAGATGATTTGCATGAAGTTTTGAGGGTACATCGTCTGAGTACTAAAAACCCTCCAAGTATTAATTTCTTACTAAGTCATTTCCCAATTTAGCCCACTAGTAATCTGTATTATTTCATCATTGTATCCCGCAAGCATTTAGCACAGAGCTGTTCCCAAAGCAGAGTCTCAGTGGATACTTTGTTGAGTGAATGAACAAACACAGCCAGGTATGAAATGATTCCAAACATGCTCTGAAGCCTACTGGTTGGATGGCACAATGAGGAGGCATTTGCATAACATATGCCTCAATTTCCTTATTCTGACAACGATTAGAAATTGTTCTCCTTCACTATCTTACATCGAAGTCAAAGACTCATGCTCCACTGAGGGAGATGGGGAAATGAAATTCAAGAAAAGCAGACTCACTGTGGACTGAATGAGTCACAGTTCTCAGCTCCCAAAGAAGCAAAAAGCCTATCTCAACCCCTAACCCTGGAAAGAAACAGACTTCCAAGTTTTAATTTAGATTTGAAATGTTCATATGCATATATGAACTATGCATATGAATTAATTAATTTTTTAACTGATTATTTATCAAGAATTAGACATATGAATAGAACACATAATTACAATAATGACAGCTATAATTATCTAACACCTATTATGTAGTCAGCTTAATGTTTTACACATTTTATTGCTAATCCGGTAGAGGTAAGTATTATTAAGCCCATTTTAGAGATTAAAAAAAAAAGTATTGAAGCTCAGACTATAAAGCTAATCAAGAACAGCCAGGGCTAAAAGTCAACTCTTCTAAACTATAGACCCATTCATTTTCTAATGCTAAGTGCCCTGTATCCAAACAGAATTATCTGTCTATGGATCCATGTTTAAAGACATATCCAGCCATCCTATCTACCACTATGGTCTAATAAGCAGAGGATATTTTAATCCTAAATGTTTGAATACATGCTCTTGGTCAGCCAAGATAAAAAAAATCAGGCAGAACTATTGAGGGGCACTAAAGGTACATCTGTAATCCAGGGCACTTCTGACTTCCACAAGACAGAGGTAGGAGTGCTGGGGCTGTACCTAGGAAAATGCCATAGTTCATTGTCAAGACTACAAACCTAAGCACACATCTGGAAAGGAACAATGTTTGTGTCCTCTAACAATCAACTCCCCCCACTGCACTCAATGAACCATGGGCAGTGCTTAGAATGGGTCAAAACAGGACACACTAGAATACCCCAGAGAGAGCATGACCACAGTGATTCTTCTTAAACAAAGGTCTTGGGAAACCGCCAAGTTTAAAAGGAATCCTCACAAAGAATTCAGTTTTAAAAGGATAGTCTATAAATAGCATCAAAGCAATATTCAAATAATTGTCCACATAGACATTATAATCTAGACAACAACAACCAGGTCTCAAAGAAAACCATCCAGTTTAACTTACGTCTTTTTCTCTTTTTGTTTGGAAGTTGTGGGAAATTCTATCTATGGCAATTTGTTTATTAATGCTTTCACCACTGAATCTGATCAATTTACTTGGTTGTTAATATTAACAAACAGCATATTTCTATAGCTACTTTGTTAAGCCTTCTTTGTAGATGGTAAAAAGAAAACACACATGTACCATCACAATTTTCTAAGTCATATGGTTTTATCTAAACTTATTGACTTATTATTAATCAAATAATACTAGCTGAGAAATTTTTCATTAATCAAATTTCATTAATCAAATAATACTAGCTGAGAAAAGCAGCCTGGAAATAGGACATAATAAGTGGGCTAAACAGTTCTTCTTTGCAACTTCTGTGATTCCCAACCTAAAACATGTAAATAAAATTTCAAATGAAAATAACTAAATCACAGCATTCTCCCGGGGAGCTTCGCAGTACAAGGGAACAAAGTTAACTAATGTGATGCAGAGATTGGAAATATCTACTAATCTTTTAAGGAATCTGGGTCATTGTAAACAAGAAAAATCATTTCCCCATTCTCACGTACTTGCTGAGACAGGTTAAAATATTCTACGTTACCAAATGGATGTGCGTTTTCATTTGTATTCACTAAAACTACGGTACCATACTAACTGGAAAGTGTAATTGTGGTTAAATGGGTTTCTGTGCCTCCTGATTTGGGGTGAGGAGCTGGTGGGGGGATAAGAAAGGTAACGTGTTCTGCAACTGCAGTAATTTTTCTAGGTATTTCAGGTACATTAGTGGAAAATAAAATCACTACAGAGTAGAGAAGAGCAAAGAAGAAGTAAAATAAGAAAGCCCCTGGCAGTATTCAATCAGATTTGTTGAATTTCACAGAATAAAATCACTCTTTTAGGAGGTGCTTTGTTTTGCCTCCTCCTATAGCACCCCTATCCCTAAATGAATGGGCCACAGACCAATTATCACATGAAGGGCAGTATCCTCCACTTCCATCCTCAGGACCTGAAAATGTGAAGCCTTTCCCCAGGCTTTCCCTGCCACTATTCTCACTATGTGGACCACCCCTTTTTCCTACTCAGAAGCTTCAGTAGAAAGACACTTGTTTATCTTGGAGCAAATTAGGGATCATTTGTTCCCAAGGATTTTGAAGAAAATACTTCCCTCAGCATGAGCAGATAACAAAGCTCCTTGCCAGCCACACGCCAGCCACCCCTCACTTGGGCCTTACTTGTTCTCGTTGCTTGCATCATAACGAGGCATTGGGTCCAAGTCATTCCCATTCACGTCGCAACTCGCTAGAGCATCCTATGGTCACAGAGGAGAGAATAAGAGAAAGGAAACGGGCATTCATTAATTAGCCATTGACCCACAGGCTCATGCATTTTTAAACACATTTCTGCAAGAAAGTAATTAGGTTAACTAATACGCTCATGGTTCGGTGGTGTCAGGATGCCTTAGGGAGGGACCACTTGTTGGGTAATAATTAGTGCTGTATTTTCCCCCTTAAGGTGAAGAAGTACTTTACGCAGTGCCTGGTCCATTCTTGGCAGCACTTTTTCTGCTCATACTTAGAATGACCCAGTCCATGAAATGATTCCTTGAATTTGCAACTTCCTTATCATAATATAAATATTTTAGAAGACAAAAATCATTCCTAGATCACTGGCAAGACAATTAAAAATCAATATTAGATATTTATTTTGTGAGGCATCTCAGGACCTTTATTAGACAATATTTGCCTGGTTTCAGATATTTTATCTACTATGAAAGAGTCTAGAATTGAGATGTTTTACTAATACTCAATGCCTTTGGGACCAGCCAAAATGATGAACAAGGTTTTCCTATGCTAAGGTTTCAAAAGAGGAAACTATCTCCCAAACCAAAGTTGGATTTGTTTGTTTGCTTTTTAAAATGATTGTGAAAAATCTCTAAATTACTAAAAAGAAAATGTACTGGGTTATTGCCATCATTCAAATTTATATCATTGCAGGCAGCCTAATTTAGGGTGCTTTGAATTTTCTTAGGCTTTATGGTTATTCCTAATTTCAATGACAGTGAAAGTAAACACTATCTTGGTTTTCTATCTTTATCAAAGGCTCTTGTTTCTGAAAATATTTTTTAGTACATAGAGCCTGAAATGTTTGGAAGAATTGAGCAAAATACACATCACACATAAAAGTGGGAAGTTCCTGCTTACCAAACCGCCCTTCTTAGTGGCCGTGAGAGCACGAAGGCTTCGGATAGTATCCAATGCAACTTGCTAATTTTCTTTATAAGGAAACAGAGACTCCAAACAGGTTAATTTCTAACCTGCTTTGGCACAAAAGAAACCAAGACTGGGACCCAGGTCTTCTAATACCTCACCCAATGAGCCTGTTCTTCTCCCCACTGGCTCCAACATAAGGAGTACTGAGAGGGCACCAGTGTTGCTAATTGCACAGGTAATTCTGCAGAATTTTTTTTCCAGGGGGAGAAAATGATAAAGGAAAAGACTGCAATCACAATTACACAAAAGCTATTCGTATTTAATCAAATACATTCGTATGCAGTGGCAAGCAGTAGCACACACTAAAAAAAACTCTCTGCGTGTGACAAGAAAGACATCTCTGCTGGGGGATAAGCAGCCAGTTTCTCTTTTTATATCTGACCCTGGATAACTCACTTCAGTCTTCAGGCTTCAGTTTCTTCTCCTACCAAAGAAGAAGACTAAACTAGAGTTCCATTTTAGTCTTAAAACTCTACGCTGTGAAGAGACAAGTTTATCCGAGTGCACTTCGACGCAGCCACTCAACTATTTCGCTCACATAAAAACGAAATAAATCTGTGGTTCCTTCTTAAGAAAGGAAATTGACTGATACCTACAGACGACTGTGAAACTGATCATTACTGTCTTTTGAAAAAAAAAGGAGAGGTCAAGAGAGAAAGAGACGAGCAGAATAACTTGAGAAAAGTACTAAGTATGCTTCTCTCCATAAAAGAAATAAAGAGTGTTGCCTGGCTGGTTGGACGAATTGCTGAGAAAAGCAGATGTTGTTGGTAGCAGATGGTGTCGGTGGTGGGGTTTCTGCTACCTTACTGTTTTCTTTTTGTAGGTCAGAACATCAAAGGCACTCAAAAGTTGAAAGTGTTATCTCATGCTTCCTGTATTCTAAGAGCTCATCTTTTATAAGAAAGGAGAAAAACACAGAGCCTATTGTATGTTGCTGCATTTTTCCAGTAGCTATTCAACTTATTGATAATCCTAACATGAGTTCCTCTGCTTCCCAGGAGGAAAGACATTCCAATCACAGCACTCACGTAGTTTTGCATCAGATCCGGATGGGTTCTCTCAATGCCATCGTCCAGGATGGTGACCACAATGTTCTTTCCCGTGTAGCCTCTCTTCCAGGCTCCTTCGATATTCATGTCTGATTGGCAGGGATGCGTATTATCACTGCAGTGCTGAAGGAGGAAGAGGACGTTGCAAGATTACTAAATAGTGAGGAGATGGGAGAATTACCTACTTCTTAAAATAATGCATTAAATCAACAGCAAGTTGGTGGATTGCCTGGTAAAGTAGAAGCACGATCTCCACTATGATAACAGGAAGGAAAGATGTAAAAAAAACAAGTGGAACAGAAATCTCTGCCACCAGTTCTGATACATATAAATCCCTTAGAAAGGCATAAAATAAAGTATACCACAAACAAGAAAAAATAACAGGTTCTCCAAACTCTTTCACTAAATTAACGATGGCTATCGTACCATAACTTATAGGCAGTAGACAGACTCTGCACTACTTTGAGAAGGGAAAGAATAACAGTGCAAAGTCCAGAAAGGTGCCCCACACAGGAAAATGTGTGTGAGGGCTCCACAGGGCCGGCTGTAAAACATGGAGTTCTAACTCATTATGTGTAGTCATTTCATTCTGCAATGGCTACAACATACAAACACACTGAAAAACGAATTAAGCCAGCAGCTTTTCCTGATATAATTTACTAGCATTTGTCCAACCCACACAAGTGTTCCTTTAAAGTCCATCTCTTTGAGATATCTCTGAGTGATGCTGTTTTCTAGGTTCTTAAGACTTCTTAGAGCAGTGGTCCCCAGCCTTTTTGGCACCAGGGACCGGTTTCATGCAAGAAAGTTTTCCATGGATAGGGGTACGGGGGGATAGTTTCAGGATGATCCAAGTGCATTACATTTATTGTGCAGTCAAACCTCTCTAACCTCTCTGCCAATGATAATCTGCATTTGCAGCTGCTCCCAGCGCTAGCATGACTGTCTCACCTCAGATCATCGGGCATTAGATTCTCAAAAGGAGTGCGCAACCTAGATCCCCGGCATGTGCAGCTGATGGTAGGGTTCATGCTCCTATGAGGTTCTAATGCCACCGCTGATCTGACAGGAGGCGGAGCTTATGCAGCGATGCCAGTGATGGGGAGTGGTTGTAAATATAGATGAAGCTTCGCTTCCTGTACCCCGCTGCTCACCTCCTGCTGTGCAGCCCAGTTCCTACTGGGCCACTGACTTGTACTGGTCCACCACCTGGGGTTTGGGGACTGAAGCATCAGAGGAACAAAGCAAAAGAGATATGCTGCTATATACTACCACAGAAACACAAGCCACCCCAGGTCTTTCCCCATTCACTACTTTCTTCCTGCTTTGTAATGTAGTTCAGCATTTCAGGAGTAGAAGAGAATGTCAAGCTTTATGTGCTCTAAGCATAAAGGAGATCCCACTCCACTGATTCATTTAACACACATTTTAGTGAGTGCCTACTACATGCTAAAGTATGGCAGTAAACAAGGAAGATGAAGTCCTTCTCTTAATGGGGAGACACAGAAAGTAAAGAAACAAATAAGACCCATCAAAATGCTCCTTGTGTTTTAAAGAAGTTAAAGAGAGTGCTATGGTGCATGCTGGGGGATCTGAGTACACTGCTTAGGTGGATTGGTCAGAAGAAAGACTCCGGTCTCTGAAAAAGTGAAATGTGAGCTGAGACATGACTGAGGAGAAAGAGCTGGTCTGCCCACGAGCCTAGGAACAAGTGTCCTGGTAGGTGACAAAGCAAATGCAAAGACTGTGAGGTGGAAAAGAGCTTACCACGTCAGAGAAAGAGAGAGAAGATGGGTATTGCTAAAGCTTTAGTGAACGAGGGAGAGAATGGCACAAAAGGCATCAAATTAGAAGAGGAGACAAGGTCAGATCATTCAGGGCTTTGTGGGCCACAACTCGGGTGATATTCCAGGTACATCCTAAACAGAAGCTCCTTTCTTTCCAAACCTGATATCTCAAAATTAGATACAAACTAGTAACAGATACCTCCGATGCCCCCTGATATGAATTTCTTAACTACTTTATGCCCCCAATGAGATGCCTTTTGTTAAATGTTATAAATACATTTGAATAGTTTCAAGGATTCATTCTAAGAAAGGGTAAACCCATGTTTTCATAATAAACAATGTCAATTTCATAAAGAATAGGGGAATACATTTTTATGAACATTTCCATCTTTTTCCCACCTTCCTGACTTGACTTCTTCCTGGTACTTGAGGCCCTGCACACACTCTCTGCTGATCCAAATCCACTCTCCCTCCTTCCGCCAGTCTTCAGGGCGCAGCTCTGGACCTTCTCCCACATGGTCTTTTTCAGCCTATTCATCCTTTTTCCCCTTCCCTGAACTCAGAAACACACACACACACACTCACTCTGTCCTATATAATCCAACCTCTACTCAGTGAATTCTGCTGGGCTGTTGACTGTTGAACCTTGGGTGTGAGTTTTATCCCCTGATCATAAGCCCCTATGATACCATGCATTAAACTAAATCTAACCTAGGATTTCAGAAATATTGGCCAGAAATGAAGGCATATCCTCAACTTTATTTCCACAATGCTTACTGCTCTGACTTCTTCAGCAATACTCAGGCCAGCTAATGCTTGGTTAACGGAGATGATAATGCAAGAAATAGTGTAGATTTTCAAAATGCCTACGTTTTTCACAAGTCTCATTCTGGCCAAGAGCTTGGGCCTCTCCTCACCAAACATTTTAATTTAACACAAAGCAACCTTGACAGGTTTTTATTTCATTTTCTTTTCAAAACCTGCTGTGGCCACCTGTGGTATCGATTGTGACATGAAGTAATGTTAATGTGGCCAAGAGGTGGGCCGGAGGAAGGAAAAGCACAGGAAATGGGTAACCACAAATGGGATAACCGTCCTGGAGTAGAGGGATGCTGCCTGAAATTGTAATTATGAAAATTGAAGAAAACCAGCTGTCTATGGAAAACATGTGTGTTAACAGTGAAGCAATTAGGTTTCTTTCTTCCACCTCTGCTTCTGTTGAACCTGACTTTGCCATTAAATATTCTTGTACCACCTTTTTTTTCTTTTTTCTTTATATCTGCCACCACGGTAGGTGGTAAAGGAGAGGAAATATTCAATTGATGTTTTCATTTGGATAATCTGGTGTATCAAGTAGTAAAATGTCATAGGCAAAATCATCATCATCATCATCATTATCATCATCAAAGCCTGGTGTGTTCCTTGCAAATGAGTGATAAGGTCAGAGGACACTTAAATCAGAACCCTAAATGCTGAATGAGAGGCTTAGATTTTTTTTTAACACATTTCAAGTGGTCCAGACTTCCAAAAGTGTTCTAATGTGGTTGTTTCCTATACCCGAGGTATCCAGAGAGCAAAAACTATGGAAAATACTGATGGCACTCAACACTGACCAAGGATGAAAATGAGTTCATCATTTCCTTAAGTGTCTGATTGAAATGATCTTTAAACTAGGCTTTCTTTACTTTCCAGGAATCTATGTTACAGCAGCACCGAAAGGCAAAGGGAACAGGTAGTAGCCATGACTCCCTCATACGTGGTCAACCATGGTGAAAAGATCTCTGCCAGAGCTGGAACGAAAGACAAGTGTCTGGAATTATGTTACCATATGTGCAGCCCATAGTCTGGTGTTCAAAAAAGGGGCCAGTCAGAAATTTCCAGCATATTTGAAGCTCTTGAAAGCTATACATGTGCACAGTATATGCAAGATAAATATTTATAGTAAATGTATGTATCTTCAGTTCTGCTTAATGCACTTTATTTCAATGATATTCTACACACAGATGATTAAGTATTTAAAAACAATACTGGACACACAAACCACAAAATAGCCTGCAGAAACAATGGTTACCACCAAGGTCTCCACTTTCTTATCCATAAAAGCTTTTATTCTCTTTAAGAATGAAAGTTTAAAGAAATTGTTCTGTGAGTTTAAGTAATGGCCTTTTCCATACTAGGGTTACGAGCTATTCAACTTATAAACCACTCTGGGTGTGTCCACTTCTTTTTGTCTTCATAAACACAGTGCTTGCTCAATGAAAGAACAGTTTATACCCAAAATAAACACCTTTGTTATGTTCTCACTATCATTTTCTTCAGACTACAGGGGTTGGGTTGGGGGGTGGGTCTCAGTGTCATTCTTTTTAGACTTCTCTAAGTTCTGAGGGTCTCCAATGAACTACCATTTTACATGCTGTTGATAATCGGTTAACATTGAAACTATCTGTTGTTCATCATTGTTGATACAGTGGCTCGAAAGACAGCATTTCTGACTCTACAATGTTAAGAAAATAGAATGAAATACACAAAAATCAGTTTTAGAGACAAACGCATCTAGTCAACTAAAGTGTACATACACTTGAAATTCTTCATAAAATTTGGAGCTTAGGAGTTGTCAGAAATTAAAAAAAAAAATAGAACTGAGATTCCCTTAAGTGAAAATATAACTAACATTAGATCCTTACCATGGCCAAGCATTATACTGAACACTTTATGTGAATTAGCATCATTTAAGACTTAGAACAACCATTTTTGAGAGGTACTTTTATCATTTGCTTTTAACAGATAAAGAAAATCGGCCTCAGTAACCTTCCAGAGTTCAAATAGCTGGTCAATAGCAGAACTAGAATTCAAACCCAAGCACTCTGAAACCAGAACACAGGGCTATGAAACTCTAGTGTTAAAAACTAAAACAGAAAGAGCTTAGAGCAGGGCCAAGCACAAGCAAATTCAGATAAGGGTAGATAAGGAGTAGATAAGAGTGGATGTTGGAGAACAGTTCCAGTAAAGAAACTCAAATAACAGAAATCACACTGGCCTTAGAACTACGATCAGTGCATTCAAGGGGTAAAGTGGAATACAGCTGTCTAAGACCTGAAAGACCTTCTAATTTTTCCTTATTCCATTTAATACTTCCAATAACAGGGAGCTCATGTCTTTATTAATTAGCCAATGATGTGCTAGTAAATCAGTTCTCTAAAAAAATAGCCTTTATTTGTAGGGTTTACAAATTCTATGATGTAAATACTCACATTATGGCCAATTTTAAACTACCACAATCACAAAATTCCTGACTGTTTAATGATAAGCTTTCATTAGCTCTGAGAAGGCAGATCC